ATCTCCACCAAATATCATGTCGACCATGTTGAAAAATGAATTCTGTTAGCAATATTACAGGAAATGTTTATTATATAATTCAAAATGAAGCAGGGAATGTTAATTGGGTACTTGGCTGAGAAATTACCGGAACATGACAGAAAAAAAAAAAACAATCTTGGTTTTCAGTTACTATGATTTTGATCAAATCCCATGCAGATATCATAATTAGTCAATTAGGAATCCCAAACATATCCATCTTAATGAGAAAGAAAAAGGAATGGATGATGCTAGGCTGGATAAGTAGAGAGGACTTGACAACTTATGCTGATCACAGCAGGATAATCAGGAGTCAGTCATAGTTCCATGGGAAAAAGTTAGCTGAGAGAGAGAGAGAGAGAGAGTCGCATAATTTTATTTCTGATATTAAAGTTAGACTGATAAGAGGACCACATGGTGCGGATACAGAAAAGAAAAGATCACCTGAAAATGAGTGGAGAACTAAGTAAACAAGAAATGACACCCCAATCCATGTCATTTCCTACTTCAAGATCGTGTATCCACGCCAAAATTCATCATCCATGAAAACGTTAAGGAAGGGCAAAGAAATCTGCATTCTGTCCTGTCCTTTTTATTCTTTATGGATGATGTGGCTTTCATTTCAGCATGTGGAAGTACTAACCTCAGACCTAACCCCAAAACAAAACAACTAGAATTAAATCATCTTTGAATACCAGCACCCTTCAACAAGTAACTTTTGAGCAGGATTCCTTGCCTGCCTGACACAAAGGGGGACTGATCAACTCAAGCAGTAAGAGCTGACCTCTGGGTTCGCACTACCGCTAAACGAACAGCTGGAAGTAAAATCTCAGGCTTAATGAGTTGTCATCAGAAACATGCTCAAAGTGGGTATCATCTAAACTCCAACATGAATTTACATCCGAATATTTGATTCTTTGATTGATATCTAATTTTATTTAAAAAATAAGTTTCGAATCTCCTTCTTCTAATTAAAAAAAAAAAACTCCAACATGAATTTTGTCTGAAATTGAAGCCTGCTTTGGATAGAACTCATTTCCCAATTAACAAAACTCTGACTATTTCCTTTCCAAAATTTTACAAATATATTCACTTCTTAGAAAGGGTTCAGATTATAATCTAAAATAATTGTTTACTCTTTGATAAATATTGCAAAATATTTTAAAACTACAAAACGACGGATTAAACACTTGGGTTTGTAATTTACTGAAAAAAAAAAAACTAGTATAGATTTTTAGCACGCTCTTTTGTAATTGAAACAGTTTCAAGTTACTAGGCCCAAATATGAGTGGCTGGGCCAGCCCGACTCAAGGGATTCCCGATTCCCTGTAGTTTTGAGTCTGGTACTACAAAATTTGGAATGGAGGTGATAGAGATAGAAGAGAAGGAAGAAATCTGATACTACTTGTATTTTGGAAACAGAAGAAATTTAAGAGAAGAAAAAGCATAGGATGGATGGAATTGGAGAGGAGGGAGGAGGAATAAGGCTGAGCAAGAGGTTCTCCGACAACAAGCCTTGCTCTTCGGGGGAAGTTGATTACAAGACAAAGGCAGGGACCGCTTGGAGCCATTCCTATCTCAACCAAAAGCCATGGCATCCCCTCTCCTATCCCAACCAACGCCGCAAGTGGATCGCCGAGCAGACCCATTCCCAGCGCATGCGCCGTGCCGAGGAAGTTGCCCGCGAGGTTTTTCTCTATAATCTGTTTTTTTATATCTATGTTCTCTTTCAATTGCCCTTACAGTGAGTAACAGATTACATGTTTTTGATGCAGTATGCCCAAGAGCAAGAATTCTTTCGCCAGACTGCTCTAATTTCCAAGAAAGAGAAGGAAAAGGTTTTCTCTCTCTCTCTCTCTCTGTGGAGAAAAGAAACTTTAATGTTGTAAATTAAACTAAGTGGTTTCCACTAATTTCTATCTCTATTTCTTTTTTGGGGACTAAATTACCCAACAACCCATATTAAATCCATAGGTGGAGATGATGAAAGCTGTTAGCTTTATGTATGTTCGTCCGCCTGGTTATAATGCTGAAAGTGCCAAAGCAGCAGAGATTGCTGATGAGAGGAAAAGGATTGAGCCCAACAACATATCCGATGATCAGTCTACCGATGTGGTTTCAACTGCAATGTAATGTTGCTATCAAATTTAAACCTTGCCATGTTTTTCCTTGTTTTAAATTAAGCTGATATTTTCAATCTTGGGATATAGCATTCTCAATTGATGAGCTTCAACTTGCAGGCCGACTGAATCTTTGCCTGGTAAAGATCCTAACGGTACAGAGAAGAAAAAACCAAGACCAAAAGATGTTTTTGGGCGTCCTTTACCGACTGAGGAAGAGTTTGAAATCCTTAAAAATGCTCCACGGTGTGTGTCAATGGTAGCTTCTGCAATATTAATCAGCGGTAGTTTGAAATAGTACATGCATACCAGGACAACCCTATCTTGACTGTTAAGCCAAAGACAATTGGATCTATAATGAGGAAAACGGACCATTTGATTTGATTACTTGATTGTCCATTTGCATGTGCATGGAGTGCAAATAAATTTAACTATTAGATAGAGTGTATAATGCATAAGCAATGAAACTGGCTTACTCACATTACGTTGTTCAATCTACATCCTTTTAAGGGATGTTAAAAACAATTAGTTTATAATAAGGGCAAAATATATTTATCTCATAGTTACATTGCTATATTGCAAATAAACATTCTATTTGATTTGGTTAACATGATGATGATGCTTTCAGGCTGGAGACTGGTGTTCCTGGACGGGTTAAACCATTTGGTGTTGAAGTCCGTAATGTGAAATGTCTTAGGTGTGGGAATTATGGGCACCAGAGTGGTGATCGTGAGTGTCCATTGAAGGATGCTATAATGCCAAATGAAGAGAGTCGCTTGAAAAGAGATGACCCCTTGACTGCTATCATGGCTCAAATGGATCCTACTGAGGTTGGTATTACTTCTATATTGGTTCTGTTGAAATTATTGAAAGGAATTATAGCTTAATCTTCCCATGATGATATTGCTCCAAGTACTAAGCTCTATTTAGAACTTTCCTGTCGTAATTTTTATGGGGTAAAGTAGTTGTTGCATTTAAAATCAATGCAAAAGCCTCTAGGAGCAGGGCATAAAATTTTGAAATATCTATTTTCTGGCGAAAAGCTGTCACTTCAACAATATCAAAACTAAAAGACTACTTGGAATTTGTTAAAATATTTTCAGAAAGATGTTTATACGCAGATAGCAAAAAACAATCTTCGTTATCTCATTTGTTTCTTTGTTGATTGTTTTTTCTTTTTTTTTGTGGTTCTTTCCTGGATTCCCATCTTGCAGCCTCTGAAGTGGGAGCTAAAGCAAAAACCAGGGATGAGTCCTCCTCGTGGTGGATTTCAACCAGATGATCCCAATCAACAAATAGTTGCTGAGGATATATTTGATGAGTATGGAGGTGAATTCTTTTTCCTATTGCAGACTCTTTGGCTTTAAATTTGAGCTCATATAATCTAACTATGTAACCACTTTTTCCTTTTTATTTAAATTACAGGATTCCTTTCTGGGGGTAATATCCCTGATTTGCTGACTAACTTTTCTTGCAAACCCAAGAAAAGGAAGTCCTCAAGAAAGAGTAGACAGAAGAGGCAGTCATCCCCAAGTAGTAGGGAATTAGAGGTTCGTGATCAAGATGAATTACCTTCACCTTCACGTTCTGATGATGATGAGAGAAGGTCAAAGAGGAAGAAGAAAACCAAGAAGAAGAAGGAGAAGAAGAAGAAGAAGAAGAGGCAGGGTTATTCTGAGTTAAGCTCTTCTGACGGTTTAGATTTTGACGGGCATCAGAGAAAGAGAAGACACAAGTATTCTTATTCATCTGAAGACTCTGACTCTGACAGGCAATACAAGACTAAACACAAGTATTCTTATTCATCTGAAGACTCTGACTCTGACAGGCAATACAAGACTAAGGAAAGCAGAGAAAAGCATTCATATATATCTGAAGATTTGGACTCTGATCAAGAACGCTGGGGATCAAAGCACTCTTATTCATCTGAGGACTTTGATAGGCATCATAGGAAGATCAAACATAAGCGTTCTTATTCATTTGAAGATTCTGACTCTGGCAGGCATGATTTGAAGAAAAAGAGTACCCAAAAGCCTTATACCTCAGATCATATGGATGCGTATAGCCACAGGAGTAAAAGGAGCGGACAAAAGCATTCTTATTCATATGAGGATGATGATGGGCATGATAGGAAAAGCAAAAGCAAGCATTCCTATTATTCTGACCATGGTAGGCAAGAGCATTGGAAAAAGACTAGGCAAAAACCTTATATCTCGGAAGATTCGGGCACTGATACACGTAATAAGAGTGAAAGGAGCAGACATAAGCATCCTCATTCGTCTGAAGATGATGCCGATAGACATGTTAAAAGTGAAAAGAGTCGACACAAGCATTCCTCTTCACGCCAATATGAAGATTCAGACTTTGATGCAGACAGCAGAAGTAGACATCGTCGTCGTCATTGAGACAGCCATAAGCACCCAAAATTTGCAACAGAATGAGACTCTGGCCGTTAACCACTTTTTTTTTGGCATATGCTAGAGAGACCAAGGTGAAGAGAGGGGAAATTATACTGTTGTTGCTAGCTATTACTTAGAATCATAAGAAATGAAGTCACTTCCATGAAAAACGTATGTATCACTTGTCTATCATTGGAGTTGTTGCAAGTCGTAAACCATGGCGACCTTAATTCTTCCAACAGTTCTGAGATATTGCATTTAAATCCTTTATAGTGAATCCGTGGCTTTTGATAAAAAACGAACAGTTTCTAATGGGAAAACATACCCAACATTTGTTGTGACTGAAAATTCTTTTTTTCCCAATAATTTGGTCCATTTAAAATATGAGAATAATTGTATGAAAAGACAAAGGTATATTATTAGTGAAAGCTTTCATGGTGGAGTTAACTTGTCTTATAAATACGAAAAATAAATTTCTTATATTAACATAACAATAAATTTACTGTTGCCGTGCATATTTGTTTCTAAATTTAAAGTATTTTTATTCTCCAAACATGGGTAGAAAAATAACCGCACATATCCCTGCGGCTTGGCTGCAGTGAACTGTGAAGCGACATTTATCACAATCACAGCAAGAAGAAACGAAAATAGGCGAGATGGCTGCTAATGCCGGCAGGGTCATACTGAAAGGGAAAATGAAGGTGAAGGGAGTTCCTAGTGCTTCGTCTCAGTTGGGGAAATTCCTGGGCATTCCTGAGCCTCCTCGCGCCGACACTTCCAAATTGATCTCCACCTTCATCAAAATCAACAATCGCCAGGTCTCCCGTCCCCAGTCATCAACCCTTACTTCTTTTCATTTTCTTTTCTAAAAAATAATCAACTTATTTCTTAAAACCTGTTGCAATTGATGAACAGGATAGATAATAAAGTTGAAACCATGACAATGATGCGTTCGTTGAAATGCCCGAATGGGTGTTTCTGTTTCTGTTTTTTTTTTCTTCTCAACACCCAAACTGTATTGGTTCCTCTCATCTACTTTGAGAATGGTCTTAAGTAATATTACTGACTAGTTATTATTATTTGCAGGGGCCCGGTATGAAGAAGGATGGTCTTTGCATGGAGAAATTGAAGGCCTTATTGGATGGCAAAGACAGAGTTGGAACCCCGGAGATTGCTAAATTGTTGTCCCCACAATTTGTCAACTCTGCCTGATCATCCTAAATTCCTGGTTGAATGTTTATGTCTGGTAAAAGTTTAAGTGTAGCTAGTTTCAACTTTCAAGGTTTAGATACTTTGAAGTCAGCATCTCTTGGGATGTTTATGGCGCTGAACATTTAGACAACCTGGAGACATTTGTTCAGCGGAAGCTTTTGGGTGTTTTTATAGTCACGAGCAACAACATTGTTCATCCATAGTTTCTGATTACTGTCTTGCAATTCCCCCATGCGTGTTCCCTGTAAGACAAGGGATGTTTAGCTGCTTTTCTCATTCCAATAACGGATGGGATTCCTGAGATTAATGCTACAAGCTTAACATTTGGCAATTTTTTTATCAACAGCTTAGGGGATCATCGTACGATGAGAATGCAACAAAATATGTTATTAGGCAAAGATTTAGGCTTTCCGACTTGCACTAGCTGCACGATTAGGGTTCCATTGTTTGATACTTGATTGTGTTTCATGGATGAATCTACGAAATCATGGTTAAGGTATGAAAATTGAAAGAATAAACCAATGGTTGATACAAAAACAGGGGGAGAAGGATCATTTTTGGTTTGGACATTGGGCACCTAATTAAATTATTCAAAGGACACACATGCTGCGAATCAAAAATGTAGATTCCTGACAGTCTGCTGTTAGTTGTTCATACATTAAAAGGCCAGGATCCAGTGTTTGAGCCCGACTCTGAGCCCTAAGATGAGTTTCTGTAAATTTGAAACAGAGTCCAAATCAATTAGCCCAAAAGGAAAAACCACTCATCATGGTAGGGCTCCGCTTTACTCTTTCAAAAGTTTTTTTCCCTCTGAGTCTGACTAGTGACTAGGGTTTTAGGCAGGAGGTTTTTCTTTTTCTTGCAGCAACGAAAAAAGGTTATTGGTGGCAATGATGGCAACATCAAGAGTATTTGGAAGGGGGAGGGGACTGATAGCAGTGGTCAAGGCATCTTCTGCTTCCTTTGCTTCTTCTTCTGCTTCAAATACAAGTGGAGCGGGCCTTATGCGGATGATGCCTGTCTCTCCACAGCTGGGCGAGTTCCTCGGAGCCTCCGAATCTTCTCGCACCGAAGCCGCCAAGAAGATCTGGGGTTACATCAAGCTCCACAAACTCCAGGTCTTTCGCTCTTTACTTTTCCTTCAGTAGTTTCTTCCAAGATTATGGGTACCATAGCTCTCATGTTATTGGTGAAAAAATTAGAGAGAATATGCTAATCATGTTCATTTCCATTGGAGTTTGAATCCATATTCTCAATCACTTTGTCCTGAAATGAATAAATGAATTCTCTAGTACACCCATGTCGCTCAAATGGAAAATATGATTGATACTATTTGTTATATATCTGGTGTGAAGAAAAATGTAGAAGAGGAAAATGAAGTTTTGAGGGATTATTCTTGAAGCGATTACAAAAGCAGGAGCTTTTGCAATTTGTTCTGGAACTTGATGGTAAAAAGATTATCAGGGAGGATAGATAATCAAATGGATATAAATCAGAAAGGTCCTTAGATCTTTAAGTCTAGTAGAGTTCTAATACATTTCTGTTTAAGTTGGCTTCTATTTTTTCCACTAAAGCAAGGGTTGATTTCTGTTTTCTTTTTAGTGCCACCTGAGGGGAATTGCATTTGTGTCCCATTATTCTGATGTTCCTAAGAAATCTTGGATTTGCCTATGAATTTGGTCTGACCTTATGCCATAAATTGTTTCTTGTACTTGTTCTTTGCTTCATTCTTTACCCTTTTTTTGTTTTTTTCTTGAATGTGACTATGCTGCCTGTGATGTTGTTTAGAATCCTGAAAACAAGAGGGAGATTCTTTGTGATGAGAAGTTGAAGAGGATATTCGCGGGGAAGGACAGTGTTGGAATGTTTGAGATCACCAAATTGCTCTCCCCACATTTCGTGAAATCCCATTGATATTTTGGCTTAGCCTTTTTGGAGCTTTATGATAACGATGATGATGATGCTGACTACTTTTTTTGTTATCCTGGTTTTTCTTAGATGTTTTCTATATTCTGATTTTGGGTTACCTTATGAATCGCTGCTAACAGCTGGAATCATTCAATGTTCTTTACATGGAGGCTCTGCCCAGCAGAAGAGACAACCATTTCCCACTAAAAAACAGAACAATGTGGTGATGAAAGTAAAAAAAGAAACATAAAAACAGCAGAGAAACTGACACAATAAAGTAGCGTTTGGTATCAGGGATGTAAGCCACATTCCTTGCAATGTGACCTATTAAATTACATTGCAGTGTTTATTTTGTAACAAATCACTGCAATGTAAGATTGCAATGCAATCACATTGCAGCCATGGAAGTAATGTGATTGCAGTCCAAAATAATGCAATCACATTACATTGCACTCTGCAATGTTCTTAAAGATAATTTTACCCTTCAACTTTATTATCTTATTAAAAATATTTTATATATTATAATTAAAATAAGTATATAATATAAAATAAAAATTAAAATAAAATAAAATATAAAAAATTAATATTTATATAATATAGATAAAACAAATTAAAATAAATATATATATATAAAAAATATATTAAAGAAATAAAAAAATATATAAAATTAAAATAATAAATAAAAATAAAATATATGACATAAAATATATTTAAAATATGATTATATTAAAAATTAATAATATAAATATAAATATATCAAAAATAAAATATAAAATATTATAATAATAAATAAAAATAAAATATATGACATTAAAAATATATTTAAGAAATGATATTATATAAAAATTAATAATAAAATATAAATATATTAAAAATATATGATATTAAAAATATATTTAAGAAATGATATTATATAAAATTAATAAAAAATATAAATATATTAAAAATAAAATATAAAATATTATAATAATAAATAAAATAAAATATATGATATTAAAAATATATTTAAAAATGATATTATATAAAATTAATAATAAAAATAATATATTAAACTTATATTTTAATAATTAAGGGTAATTTTGACAATTAGCATTACATTCTCACTAAAGTACTTGTAAATCAAACACTGCAATGTTATCTTCCCTGCATTTTAATCATTATTTTACTTACATACCAAAACGTAGTATGTTCCCTGTAATCACATTGCTTGTAATCACATTAGACCTGTAATCACATTGCATTGTAATGTACCAAACGCCACCTAAGGGTCCGTTTGGTACACTGCAATATAAAGCACATTACTTGTAATGTGGCTTATTAAATTACATTGCAGTGTTTGTTTTGTAACAAATCATTGAAATGTAAGATTGCAATGCAATGGATGTAATGTGATTGCAGTCCAAAACTAATGCAATCACATTACATTGCACTCTGCAATGTTCTTAAAGACAATTTTACTCTTCAATTTTATTACCTTATTAAAAATATTTTATAATATTATAATTAAAATAAATATTAAAATAAATATATAATATAAGAATAAAATTAAAATAATAAAATATAAAAAATTAACATATATAATATAGGTAAAAACAATTAAAATAAAATATATAATATAAAAATATATTAAAGAAATAAAAATAAAATATATAAAATTATAATAATAAATAAAAAATAAATATATGACATTAAAAATATATTTAAAATATGATATTATATAAAATTAATAATATAAATATAAATATATCAAAAATAAATATAAAAATATTATAATAATAAATAAAAATAAAATATATGACATTAAAAATATATTAAAGAATGATATTATATAAAAATTAATAATAAAATATAAATATATTAAAAATAATATATAAAATATTATAAAAATAAATAAAAATAAATATATGATATTAAAAATATATTTAGAAATATGATATTATATAAAAATTAATAATAAAAAATATAATATATATTAAACTTATTTTAATAATTAGGGGTAATTTTGACAATTAACATTACATTCTCACTAAAGTACTTGTAAACCAAATACTGTAATGTTATCTTTTCTGCATTTTAATCATTATTTTACGTACATACCAAACAGTGTAATGTTATTTTCCCTGTAATCACATTGCATTGTAATGTACCAAACGCCACTTAAGTTCCAAATGTAATAAAAACCGGAGCAAATCTCCTGTTGGACAAACTGTCACCAATAAAAGAGTCAAGCTTGCCCTTAAAGGGATTAAGTGCCCGGGAACTACCATGTCTGTTCAGGAACTGGTCCCATAAGAAATGTGGCAAAAATACTAGTTAAGAGAGAATTCACAAATGTAATGACCCACAAAATCACCTAATTTTGTCATAATTTTGAAATAAAAATAGGATTTGATGATGTAGATTGAGCATTTTCTTCTTTCTTTGAGTGGAATAAGTGTTAGCAATAAGGAAAGAGGTTGTCCACCTGACCTCCCAAGGCAACTTACAAGGGGGCACAACTCTAGCTGGGAGGAAGAGCCACCCATTCAGGTGATACCAAAAATGATAAATTATCCTTGGGTTGGACAAAGACTGGTAGCACGAAAATATACTTGCTACGCATGTGTGTTTTTGTTTCATCCAGATTGAAATATTTTCAAACGTAAGATCAGATACTCTATATTTATGTCCGAAAGAGAGGAAGTCCAGGGCATTACTACTTGCTAATAAGGAGATTATTAATTATAATGCAACATATACAACAAATTAATTAAGCAATGGAAGAGAAGGTCGCCCTACAATTTGTTGAGTTCACTCTCCTTCACAAAAAGTCCATGGAAGCCGTAAGGGATACGTTGGGGTAGCTTCACAGTAGCCACTATGTCAAGATTGGGTGACTTTGCATCCATCACCAAGAATCTTGATTCTCCTGTGTTTTCATTATGAACATACGTCAACAAAAACCCATCATCCTCCTCCGCCTCTGGATTCTGCGGTGCCTTGGCAACAAAGAAGGGCTCCCCACCGTAGCACCCTGGACCGTACATCCTGCTTCCCACCGTGCACTCCTGGAACTCTCCTTTGGACACATCCAGCTTCACTACCCCTGATATTTTTGGCAGCGGCTCACCTACGCCAGAGTATACGTACCTGTTCTTTTTAGCTAAGTATGCTGGGTTTAGCACTGCAAAGTCTAGATTTCTTGATGAGATCGGCTGCCTTGTTACCAGCCCTGTCTTTAGGTCCATTCTCACTCTCTCCATCATACCGTGGATAAGGTCCAATCTCTCCAGGGCATGTTCTATTGATATTATATTTGGTGCTAACATAACTATCGCATTGCCATCGTCCTCTTCCCAAGCATTCACCACATGCACGGGGTTGAACCCTGGCATATCAAACCATCTCATTTCTGAATCATTATTCGCATACCTAGGGATGACTCCAATTCTTGGCACTTTGGCCGGATTTAATATCATAGGAGAACCTCCTTTTAAAATCATTTTCATGGGCTTTATTTCCATTTGTATGTCAGGAAATAAGGCATAATTCTTTGTAATTGCAAAATCATGGACGAAAGATGGACGGGCCATAGACAGTATGGGCACATCTGAGTGTTTGTTTCCGTCTGCGTCGAAGTTAAAGTAAGTTAGAAATGGACGTATGAGACCATATCTGAAAGCAAAGGCCTCCCCACTGTCAGGGTCTATCTTGGGATGAGCTGTCATGTTGGCCAACAGTTTTCCGTCAAAATCATGGCGATCCAATGTCTCTATATCACCATTGGGGGTCAAGCGTACAGCATATGGCAAATCAGACTCACCAAGAGCATAGAGACGGTTGCCGAACAAGGCCAGACTAGTGTTTGCAAGACCAATGCCCTTGGCAGGATTGTAATGACCAATTATAACTCTAGCTGCATAGAGCGCACCACGGGCCAGACAAGCAGGCATGCTGCTGAAACTAGAGAAAAAACTGGGAACAACCGGAGAGCCGATGCTTTGCTCAGTGGTATACTTGTAAGTCTTGACAAAACGGCTGCACAGAGTGGCTCTGCCCTGGGAAATTCTAAGGGAGTGAAGCATGCCATCACCGTCAAAGAGGTGGTAAGGGCCACGAGGTTGGTACTGTGGATTGGGGCCATTGCGTACGTACGCACCGTCTAGGCATGACGGAAGGGATCCTTGTATCACCTCACAATCTGTTGGAGGAAGCTCATCAACTGGAGCAAAGTTACCTGAGAGCACGAACCTCGGATCAAATGCGGGGCGGAGAGGAGGGTCCACTGAGTTGTTGATAAAGTCATTTAATGTATCAAATATCCTTGTCGTTACTGTCGTTTCTGCCTTTTTCTTTGCTCTAATCGATGACGAGACCGTTAGTGATGGAATTTGGATATTTGAAGTCGGGGGCTTTGTTTTACTCGTTGTGGTGGTGGAAGTTTGAGGTTTACTCTCCATTCTAACAGAGGAAATGCTGCGGTGAGGAGCATGAGATGGTCCCGGGTGTGTCGAAATGGTTCTGGAATTGGGTAGTGTGACGGTGGGAGGGGCGAGTTTTGAGAGGGAGGAGGAGAAAGCGTCCATTGTTACCGCTTCTCTTGACAAATCAGCAACAACAATAAGGAACTTGTAATGAAAGGAGAAAAGGAGTGTTGCAACTTATACTTGTGTATCATCCGAGTGGGCACGACTGAATCTTCACCAATATTTCAACGAAGGGAGAAAAAGGAACTCTTGCAAGTTATGCTTACCTATGAGCCGCGGGGCACGAATGACCTATGAATACAGCCAAAATTAACAACCCAACCGTTTTGATTAAAGTTGGTTTGGTTTCCTAGAGTTAAAACTCACAAATCAAAACGACTTAATCTATGTGTGAATCAAATTCGGTTCCTATGAAAAATATTTACAAAATAAAATCTTGAATATATCAAGTCATTTTAAGAGGAAATATCTTAATTTGTTATATTTTACTTTAAAGTCAGTATTTCTGTGTGAATTTACAATTAAGCAATTATATTATACACATAATTAGTCACTTTAAACCTTTTCAAAGTTAATATATATTTTCAACATTTTTAGGTGAGCCAACTGAGCTAATTTATAATCTATAAACGTATATCTAATTACTTTGTGAGTATTTCTATGAATTTAGACAACATTTTTTTCTAGCCTGTAATCTCAACTCTACATCAAATTGGAACCTACTTGGCTTAGCTTAGCTTAGCCAGGGATTACCCTAAACATCCAGAGGCGGCTCAGTAATCTTGAAGGTCTAAAGTTAATTATTCAGATGAGGTTTTTTTAATGAAATTGAAAAAAAATTATTAAAATTTTTAATTAAATTTATTATTTAATAAATCAACTATCATATAAGATAGAGATAATATAATAATATAATATAAACTCCAAATTAAAGTAAAAAAGTCTACAAAGATTAAAACAATGATACCTAATTGTTGAATACTTATTGCAAGCAGCAAATAAGGCTTACGGTTTTATGAAAATAATAATATAACAAGTTTACTATGCATTTTTTGGAGGAAAATTGAAGGTAAAAAAAAGATAAAGTGATTGAGGAAAGAAGAATTTAAAAGTAAATATTATAAATTGAATAAAAAAGATAATTGATTTAATATATATGAAAAAAAATAATAGTTGGAGATCATTAAATACATATTACCATTAAGTGATTGCAAATAGAGGAAATAATTGAGAAAAAAAAGTTATTAAAGATTGTTAAATATAAATTACTATTACTTGATTGGAAATAGGAAAAATTGCCGGGAATTAATAGTATTGTAAGAAGTAAGAAGCGATAAAAAATTTAAGTTTATTAAGTACATAATTAAAAAATAAAAAAAATATTATTTTATTAATTATTTTGATTTTTATATGAAAAATGAGTTAAATAATTGAGAATAAATACGTGAAAGGGAGAGAAAGTAAATATTTATTAAGCTTGAGAGATAGGTAAATATTTTAATAATTATCTTAATTTTGTATGTTTTTAATGTAATTAATTATATTATTATTATAATAAAATTAGGAAGTACACCAAAATTTTGGGGCCCAAAGCCACTGCTTTGGTGGGTTTACCCCTAAGCCGGTATTGAAACATGTCAGCCTCTTTAATTCTTAGCTTCTTTAGGCTTATAAAGGGGTAAGAAGTTGAATCTATAGATGTGTAAAAGAAGTGGTCCTGTTCCTGTAATCAAACAGGTTAGGCCGCCGGTTTTAGGCTTATAAATTTCAAGCACCTTGTGAGATGAAGAACTCTTTGCTTCTACGTATCATTGTCTCGAATAAAAGCAAAGCAATGATTCCTCCCCCAAATGGTCCCCGCTAGTTATAAGGGAAGTGAAGCAATTGGCTGGTTGCACTCAAAAATCAAAATAGTTTTAAATTGGCTGCAAGAGCCCAAAAGGAAAGGCCGCAATCATTTTTGGGTGCATAAAAGGCTGTGCATGTTCAACATGTTGGCCGGCCCAAGAAGGAACTGGGTCCCAAATGCACATTTTGGTGGTCGTGGCATTCCTCTTCTGTTTTCTGTTTTTTAGGACTCCCATTCTCCCCGCCCCGTCTTCGTCGCTTGCTAAATCTCCGTCAGAGGCAAGCACGGATCAGATCTTTTCCCTGGAAATTCTAGCCGAAATATCAACTATGGTCAGCTCCCTTTCTCTACTAGACTCGTCGTTTTGTAATTCTGATGTAACTTTTGAAGAGTTTTACTTCTGGCTGTCTTTGGTTTCAGTTATTTCACTGCAGATCTAAACCTGTTTGACTAGAGATCGAAATCGATTTACTTTGTAATTTATACTTTTCGCACAATGGACTCGGATCCGATCCATTTTTTTCCTTTTAACGGATATATTTTGTGGATATATTTTTGTTTGTTTTGATCCATTGTAGAAATTTCTTTTAATCTGAACGGAAACTAAATTGGAGAGTGAAGAACAATGTTAATCGAAACTAAATCCAAGATATGATTGTAGGCTTGAATTTGACATTGCACTGAAAGTATGACCTCCTCTATCTCGGTTGTATCCCATTGGCATTGTTTCCTGTTAGCAGAAGATCTTGGTGGAGTTATCTATGAGAACATTAGAGTTGGTAGGAGATCAAGATTTGGGTCATTTTGCAATCCTTAATTGTGTTTATGGTGTTGTTTGTAGGAGTCATGCCCTTCTGTTAAAAATGTCCTCCTTCTGGATTCCGAAGGGCAACGTGTTGCTGTTAAATATTATTCCGATGACTGGCCAACTAACAGTGCTAAAGAATCTTTTGAGAAATCTATATTTACCAAGACTCAAAAGACAAATGCCCGCACTGAAGGTAAACAATTTGCAATATTCTAGGCCTCTTTCTGTGTCGTGTTTATTGTGCCTGTATGTGTTCCTTTGCGCTGTTATTTACCTATTTTCTAATAATCATGTTGTTCAAGTATACCAACTATAATGCACATGTATCTGTCCCTTCCCTTTTAATGTTGATTGATAACCATATGTTCTTTATCTATGTAAGGGCAATAGATATATTTGAATAAATGAAACTGGTGAGTTGATCAGGTTATTGGTTTGATAGTTTCATCAGTTTTAAGAAAATAAAATCTTTTCTGGCACCAAAAGCTATGTGAGAGATATCATTTTGCACTTTGTTTTATTGTTTTTGGTTGGGAGGACAATAAATTTCATTGATTGACCTTGCTTAATTTATTCATACCGTTTCTACTTAATTATGATGCTGATTCCTTGTTTACAGCGGAGATAGCAATGTTTGAGAATCACATTGTTGTGTACAAGTTTGTTCAAGACCTTCACTTCTTTGTTACTGGGGCTGAGGATGAAAATGAGCTCATCTTGGCCACAGTTCTTCAAGGTTTCTTTGATTCAGTTGACCTTCTCCTAAGGTTTTCAGAATCTCTTATTACACTGTTTACCAGCTCTTTATACATGCTTAGGTCATGTCACTAAGAAATTATTCTGACTCCTTTTGTTAACTCTCTCTTCTTCCAGAGGCACTGTGGACAAGAAAGAGGCGCTGGAGAACTTAGATCTCATTTTGTTATGCCTTGATGAGATTGTTGATGCCGGGTATGCAACATGACTCATTGTAGCTAAAGTTTACTTATGTATATCTGCCACAATACTTAATTTATCTTTTTTTGCTGGGTAATAGTTAAAATTTCTTGAATTTAAAACATTGGCATACTGCCAATTACTAAAAGAATAAATGTAATTAAAAAAAGGAACATCCAATGGATTAGTCAATGAACATTAGCCTGTCATTGCTACTTGAAACTGTTGTTATTGATCTTTTGCTAATATTTGAATAAAAAGACAGTTTTGCAGACACATAAATTGGGTTAATAACAATTATACAAGTAAAGAAAAGACAGTATCTTGTACGTTTTACCCTTCTAACAATAACTATATTATATTTTTTGGGTGTACATGCCCTTCTAGCAAAGCATTTATCAAAAGATAGATAAATCTAAACAGTTTACACAAAACATTAGGTATTTGGACTTCTTGGCTGAAATTAAATAAGTAAACAAGAGATGGAATTAGGCTTTCTGGACTTAGTTGCTCTACCTCTCTTAGACTCTTGGGAGTTCCTGGCAGCAACTAAAATGGTAATCCTTAGGGCCTTGGGGTTCTGAGCCATCGCAAGCAACTCCACGCCATGAGAGTGATTTTCTGTCCTGGTTAACTCTCTTTTTCTCCTTTGCAGCATCGTTCTAGAAACTGATGCAAATGTTATTGCGGGGAAGGTTGCTAGTCATAGTATAGATTCGGGTGCTCCATTATCTGAGCAGGTATTGTTACTTTGGTTCTTGGAACAAACATCACTAAATCACCCCTTTTTTTTTTCATTCTTCCAACATTTCCTCCATGAGCAGGCAAACATTGAACCATGTTATTAGTTACATGTCATTGACTATTGCCACCATATTTGCTTTCTTTATGTTTTGCAGACAATTAGTCAAGCATTGGCCACTGCTCGTGAACATTTAACAAGATCCCTTCTGAAGTGATGATCGAGGGCAGAAGCAACGAGATTTATCCTGTTACATTTCTAGTTTTCCTATTCTTGTAACCTGGCTGGTAGGCACCAATTTTGCTTCAATGTTGCTTTCTTAATATGAGTGGATGATGGTGCCATATGGGGCTGCTATGCTAGCTGGTTCTTGCCAAAGGATTGGAGCATTTGTTCCTCTTTTCATGTTTTTCCTGGTGTAAACCGTGATTTGTTTGAACATTTAAATGCAAATAAGAGCGATGGAGATGGAAGGAAATTGATGCTGGGAATATCAAAACATAAATCTCTGAATAATATTTCTTATCTTGGATCAACTTATGTGAAAAAAAGAGCTAGAACTTTATAAACGTTACATTTGCGTGCCAAAAATTGCTCAGTATATTACAGAAAATTTTAACAATAAACCCAACGTAGGAATAGTACTCGAGTATTTGGCTTATTATTATCCTTATGTGTAAAGAGCATTGTTCGATTTTTTTTAATTATAAAATAAATAAAATAAAAAAAACGTAATGTAGGAATAATATAGTTTTGAAAAAAAATTATAAAATCATTGTGATGAAATATAATTGCATTTAATAATAAAGGAGTCTTTTGGTTAATATTTTTGTTAAGTTAAAAACACATCCAAAAAATATAATATAAACACAATTTAATTTTTAAATTTTTTTTAATGCTTTATTGCTATTAAGCAATATCTAAAAGACCTTGACTTAACCAAAAAAAAAGGAAAATCCGAGGCCTAGCTGAGTTATTTTTTTAAAAAAATTATCGTCCATTAATTTTGGTTTTTCTTTTTAATAAATGGATTCATTTTTGTAGGGAAATAAAAGATATTTTGACGGCGGGTAATCGGACAAAGCGCTGTGTACGCATAGAATCAGGTGGGCTCGACCCAGACCCGGCCCATACAACCCATGCCTGTCTGTGCTGCGGGGCGCTTATCCTCGTATCCATCCAACACGAATGGTTTGGCTTCTCAGAAAAAAACAAAAAAAAAGCCAAACTCCATCAATCGCCGGCGAATTATCAGTCGGGTCACCCTCCGATCTGATCCATGACCTTATCAGACGACGAAGACAAGTTCTTGGCAAACTTCCTCGAATCTGAACTCTCCGATGAGGTTCTCTTCCCCCCCTCCTCTTTCTTTACCTATAATTTTTATGCTTCTCCGATGGAAATTTGATGAAATTGAATTGTCTCGATTTAGGAGGAGAGGGAATCGGAGGAGCCTGAAGCCAAGCGATTGCGCGTAGGAAAGGATGATGAGGAAGAGGAACCAAAACGCAAAGGAGAGGGGGCTTCTTGTTCCAATCCGAATCCGGATTCGGGTCCGGGCCAAGTGAAGAACAACAGCAATATAAGTGTTCCTCGGAGGATTGAGAGCGGAACTTTTAGCAAGATTCCTCCTGAGTTGTTCCCTCACATCCTCAAATTTCTTTCATCCGAGGTCCTTTTCAATATTTGCTCTTTGACATTTTTGTGGTTCTTTTTCTCTAAAGTCTCAATTTTGATATCGTGTTTGTTATATGTATATACAGGATCTTGTATCGTGCTCGCTGGTATGCAGTTTCCTGAATTACGCGGCAGCTGATGAGTCCTTGTGGCGTCGCCTGTGAGTGTTTTATTCTATTTGGTTTCTGATATTCAAAAGTTCTTCCTTTTTCTTTTTCTCTTTCACATTTTGTTGATTGTTGATAAATCTAGGCCAAGTTATCTGTATTATGCGTGATTAATATCTTAGACATAAAAATGGAATTTACGTGATGGAAAATGCATGTGCAGTTCCTTGTTGAGTGTATTGAATGTCAGGGTTACTAATTTTCTGGTTTGTTGTAGTTAATTTTGCAGATATAATTATTTCTTTGAATATTGTTCTAGAGGTTTAGAGGTATGCTTTTTCTCACATTTATGTTTGGCATGCTGCATAACCCCCACCTCTATGTATGTAGGTATATGTATTTGTATCCCATATTGGCCTTCCTCTCAGTAAATCCTGGCTTTGCTACTTGAAACAACAATTTTGAACTTGTATAGGTATTGTATGAGGTGGGGTTTGTTGCCTCCAACAAAAATAAGAGAATGTGCTTGGAAGAAGCTTTACATCCAGGTACTTTTGGTTTATACCTCTCAATTTAAGATTCCTTTATGTTTTAGATTTGTATTTTGTTAACATCCTCAACTCATTTATCCTGTAAAAGCTCCCTGTAATAAGTTAGTGGGCACACAGCCTCCTTGCATGATAATTTTACTTGTGCTCATGATTATGATGCCACTGTTGGTATTTTAGTTTTTGTTCTCGAACTTTGAGGGCTTAATATGCATACATAATTAACTTTTTGTATTAAAATTTGAGCGCAAAAAGGTACGTCTTCTTTCTAACATCAGCTTTGAGCATAACAATCCTTATTGAGATTTCTATCCGCATACTTCTTGAGGTCGAATCAGCTGGTCTGCATGCTTCTTGTGACATTTTCAATGTAATGAATTAACATGTTTTTCCTTTACAGCGTGATGAGGAGGACATGATTGAACTTGTTAGGAACTGTCCATCTGAATTTAAAGAGTATTACATTCAAATGCAAGCAGCAAAAAGAAGCCAAGCACCTCTTCCTTCGCAGGTAACATGGTTTTACTGATCTTTGACCCATTAAAAGAGGAAAAGATGTTTTAGGTTCCTTGTGCTGAGGATATTGTAGGGATAGCTTATTGGAGTCCTTTTATTTACAGAATGTGTTTTTGAGTAATATATATTCAAATTCCCTCCATGTTTGTTGACAGCTATGCATGTCATGGTAGTGTCAAATTCGTGGCGGGCTCCATGAATTTAAAGAGAAACGTTCCTTAAAAGTCATTGTCATTCTGCAGCAAGAATATTTCTTTTTGAATGCAAGAACTGGTTCATCCTTTAAGGACATGCATGAAGATGCTTAATTCTGTTTTCCACTTACAAGAATCCAATCTGAAATGTGTCCTTTTGACTGTTTTCTTCTTCTTTTTCATTTTTTTCTCTCTTTGTGAAGGTGAAGGATGACCCAATAATTCTGGACAAGACGGTTGCTGATCAAGTATCTATGTGGAAAAGCAGTCGGGGTCTGACTGATAAGGTTGTTGCTGACCATGCTTGTTCTGGAGAAACATGTTCCTACTACCAAATTGGAGATGTATTTGTTTGTGAGAAGACTGGGCAGGTTCATGGTAGGACTCGATATCAATAGTGGCATTTCTCTTGCACATTAATGTGTACAACTGCGTGCCTAATTATTGTGGGACTTCAATTTATGGTTTTTATTTTTGCTTTTTCTTGTCCCAGTGTGTGATGATACTTGTCGAGAAGTCATTTTGGACCCCACCAATGAGCTTTTGGTCTGCACAATATCAGGCCACTGTTTTGATAGGTTACTGTCACCATCCGAAATGGAATTGGATCCTGTGAGTAGAAGTTCTATTTAAGCTATTTGTTCTTCTTGCTAGCTTTCCAATAAAATTTTAAAGTAACATGTCATGAAATTTTGGTTCACGACTGTCAGAAGGACAGCCTTTTCTATGCTATTTCTGTTATAAGGAAGGAAACGAGTTCATCATCTTCACTTTTTAGATTTTATTATTGATTCCTAACACTTGTATGTGCTGGTCAAACTGCCAGGAACAACAGCAAGGTGGTGGCACAGATGAAGCAGAACCATTCATGGGATCTGGCCGATTTGGTAATAGAAATTACTTGAATCTTAATCTTGAATGCTTTCACTGATTCTACTGTATTGTATATATCTCATTTTGATGTCTGTGGCAGCACGAGCTTACTTATTAGGATACAACTGCGACGATGAAAAGGAGCTGGAAGCTGCTTTGAGGTTTTGTTGATCCAAATCTTTGTTAATTTTAGGTGGGTGTATTTATGTGGGTAAATTAGTACAAGGCCACAAATGTTCACCTGTCTGGCTTATGAATGTTTAGGTTTTGCTTGATTCTACAGTTGTACGACTGTTAGATATAAGTCAGGCCATTCAGTTTTACGCTATCATATTACTTGGTTATATCGTATGATTAAAACTCCGTGTCCCTGAATCTTGTATTGTAATATTTTGGCCCATGGCGAGTGGCACATGATTTCGATTGAAGTCAAAGCATTAGCACATGGTTACCCGGGGATGGATGATAGGCAATTGATATTGCCACCCATAAACTAAACAGGAAATAGTCGTGGTTGGAGCATAAAATTATGTTATTCCCTGGAAAAGTAGGTTCCAGTCCCTGAAAATTACCCAACTCATAAGTAAAGAGAATGTCGAGCTGCTACGAAATTCGTTGAGCTTCCTTCTTTTAAAGGAAAAAAGATGAAAACCTTCGGGATGAAATCATAGAAAGGCTTCTACTTAACAAGTGCCCGGTCACTACGTCTTTCCTTTTTATTTTGAAAGTGAAAGGAAAACAGATAAAAGAAAACAGCAAGGAAAATTGAATTCATTCATGGAACAAAATGAACAAGAAAATAAGGTTCAAGAACTACCGCGTTAAGTTTGAAATGCAGATTTACAGTCCACGTGTCGTTCGCCCCTGCGAATTAGCCGCGTCGATTACGCGCTAAAGCAACGCGTGGAACGCCTTCAAATTCGGAGATAGATATAAATATCTAATGTATATATCCAAATTTTGATTTGACGCAGTTCGTACAACTCTCCCTCTCTCTCTCTGTAAGACCGCTCAATTCATCCCTTTAATATTGTCTTGTACCCTTGCTCGTATGTCTCTCAGATGTTCTTCTTTCGTATAGTTGTTCGCTTCTTATTTTATGTATATTATTGTTTTGATGTAATCTGAAACATTGTTTCATGTTTTGTGATCGTTTGTGTTAACATGCGCCATCCCTGGACCTTAATCTTACCAAAATTCGAAAACATTTCCAGAACATGGCTCCGTTTTCGTAAGATCTCAAAATTTGTTTAATTTCTCATCAACTCTTTGGGAAATTTTTGTATTATCGCTTCCAATTGACACCTTTTTGCTTATCTAGTTCTTGATTGGATCAAAATGGCGACTTTTGGTTTGGGAAATTTGTTGCAGATGGAACTTTTTTTTTGGAAAGTTTTGTAATTTCTCGCTTGCTGGAACAAGTTTGTCGGATCATGGTGTTCTGATCTTGAGTCCTGACATTGCATGTTTTCCTCCATGCGAATGTTTGTGACTTGTTTGCTTGTTGGGTAATTCGGGATTTATGTACTAATAATTATGATTATGTTTTTCCTTTTTCTTATTTTGATCAAAGTGTATTATGTCTTCACTTTCTAGAAAGCAGAAACGTTAAATGTCTTCTCATCACTGCTTTTGCTATTTGTGTTACAGGACTCATTCTTGGTTGAAAAAACATGGGAAAGGACAAGGACAAGCATAAGCACGATGACAAGGGTCTCTTTTCACACCACCATGGTCATGGAGGTTACCCTTCTGGTGCATACCCTCCACCTCCTGGGGGATATCCCCCTGCTACAGGATATCCCCCTCACGCAGGATACCCCCCGCAAGGTTATCCACCTCAAGGCTACCCACCAGCTGGATATCCTCCTGGTGGATACCCTCCATCTGGTTATCCTGGTGCATCTCATTCAGGTAAAGTTCCCAAGGTTATCCTATACCTCTACCTCATGAGCTATAATATGAGAATCATCCGTTCCAATAATTAGCTGATCTTGTATTCCTGACTCTTATCTTTAGGGCACGGTGGCCTTGGGGCAATGATTGCTGGTGGTGCTGCAGCTGCTGCGGCTGCTATGGGGGCTCACCACGTGGCCCATGGTGTTCATGGTGGTCATCATGGTGGTTATGCACACCATGGAAAGTTTAAGCATCATGGTGGCAAATTCAAGCATGGGAAGCATGGCAAATTTAAGCATGGGAAGCATAAGCATGGAAAGCATGGATTATTTGGAGGCAAATTCAAGAAGTGGAAGTGATATACCTGGTTGTCAACTGAATGTAGTGACTTGGCTCCCAGGATCTCAAGTTATGGTTTTTATGAATAACCTTTGTTTGCCATTGGTTTACATTTCCAAAACACTGTTGGCTGAGTCGGACATAAGAAAGCACTTATTTATCATTTATGGCTTTTATCATATGTTTGTACATGAAACTGATGGATCGCCCGAGGTTGGTAGCTGTTGGGACCTGAAATGGTTCCTACATGCTCTAAATCCAAAAATTACAACCTTTTGGAGCACCCTTGGTTTGTATCAGATTCTTTCTTTGGCACACTTCTCCTAGATGGTTGTTGCCTCTGCTAGCGCCTCAAAGATGAAGTTTAATGCTCATACAATATATAGTAATTGATTTCTAAAATAAGAGAAGATTCCGGGTGGAGAAAATTGAACAGTGTCTTACTCGTAGTCGAGAAAAGATAAGATTCCCATTAATCATGAGAAAACAGATAAGCAAAAGGTATCAACCAATGAAAAGATAAAATTAATCTTTGCATCAAATGAAAAACAAAAAGCCCCTTAAAAGGAAGATTAATGAAGTAACTGTAAAATGACAGAACCTTAAATTATAATTCAATAAACAAAGATGGTGCTCAACTATCTGAATTCAACATCCTTCCTCTTAAATTTCGAACGTCTAGTGAAAAATACAACGGAGATATGGCAAGAGAGAATAGTACCAAACATTCTAACTCACCAAATATCAATCAAAATTGGTGAAACAAAAGAGCACACTATAGGATAAAATTTTTCTAAACAAGCGGTATGTGAGCTCATTTAGCAGCAAGATGGATATGAGCTCCTCACCAGGTAAAGGACCTACTTTTCCACTCGTCAACATATCAGAACAACTCATTTGAGATCCCATGATTACCCAACATTGATGTGCTTTCATCTTATCGCAATTAGCAACTGCAATGGACGGTAACAATAGTTCAGCAGCCACAAGATAAGTGCATAAACAATCTAACAGAAATGAATTATTTCACACCTGTCCGAAACATGTCAATCATCTAAATAATAATATGACCCGGCAGACTTTTGCTCTCTGTCCTTAGTTGAGTCCAATTTGTTGATTCTTGGTCGGTAATTGGTTGGGTCCCGCCTAAACGTAATGTCCAGATGCTGTAGAGTGCGACAATGTGCAACAGTGAGCACCAAAGGATGCACACACAGGCAAAGTGTAATAAGAAATTTCAAAGGAAAAAGACAACCAATAGAGAAGGGAGGAAACAGCTGCAAGACTCACAGATAAGAAGAGATTCATGCCAGTCAACAAGGACTGAGGAGAATTTGCAATACAATCCACTGACGGCTTCCCCTCATACACAATAACTCGATCTGCAAGGTAAGTCGCCATTATAAAATCATGCTCAACCACAAACGCAGTTTTCTTTGCATGGAGGATAAACCTCTTTATGACTTTAGATGCAACAATACGCTGCTCAGAGTCAAGATAAGCACTTGGTTCATCTATCAGATAAATATCAGCTGGCTGCATGAAATAAAACAAACAAGTGCATTAGGCAGTGGCCCAATGAATTGGCCCTTCAGAGCATTAGAGGCAGGGGGTTAACAACAGCCCAAAACAAAAACCATATGTCCTCAAAAGGAATACAATGGAACAATATTACATAGAAAAGTAGATTGTGCGGGAATGTGTGCACATTTAAGCATGTACTCAGATACATGTGCATGGAAACATAATGCTTAGGTTGGAATGAAGTAAGGACACCCACCTAGAGCTGGCACCTCCAACAATTTAGGTTCAAAACCAATCACATTTCAAATTTGTTAGGAGGCACAGAGAACATGGAACATCTATTTTTCAATTTATCTATATCCTTAACCGTTGGTGATTTCAAAATATTTACCTTCCCAAGGCATAGACATAATGCCACTCTTTGCAACTCTCCTCCAGAAAGATTAACCACTTCCTGATCCATCAATTGTTCAATAAGAAGAGGCTTCATCACATCTGAAACAAACTGAGGATGCATGTATGAATCACGTATCTTTTGATGTAGCAAGTGCCTGACTGTAGATTGAAATTTGGGACTGATCTTCTGGGGCTTGTATGAAACATTAAATTCGGGAATCTCCACATCAGAACCTTCGATGCTATCAGGTTTCAACAAACCAGCCTGCAGGTTTACTCAATAATATTAATCAACTTATACAAGAGACAGGAGATTCATAATGACTTAACACAGGTTCTATAATGAATGCACAAACAATGAAAGAGTAACATACCAGCATACGGATGAATGTGGTCTTCCCTGTACCATTCTCCCCCAGCATTACAATAATCTGAGAATCAGTAAATTCACCCTCAATCACTTTAAGTTTAAAGTTGCCCTGAGTTTTTGTCATGGTTGGGTATTTGTATCGTGCATAGGTTTCAATTTCCTCAGCACTTTCCTGTGGGGTCTCAGCAACCTAAAACAAAGGGAAACAGAAAGTGAAGACAGGAACTTAAAGCTGAATGAGGTGGGCACAAATGCCAATACTAACAGGTTTACCTTGAAGGTTAAAGATTCATCTCGGAACCTTAGATTTTCTGTAGGGACAAATCCAGCCAAGAAGATATTGATTCCTTCTCTTACAGAAAAGGGAAGGGTTACAACTCCATATGCACCCGGTTTTCCATACAAGCAGCAAATGAAGTCCGATAAGTAATCCAGGACACTAAGATCATGCTCGACGACAATCACATAGCTGAAATACAGTGTAAAAGCATAATTACCCAAATTAGATCTGTTCAACTACTAAGAAGCATTTAAGACTAGGGACAAATGAAGATTTAACCTATTAGGCCTGAGCAGAGATCGAACAACTTGTGCTGCTTTTAGTCTTTGTTTCACATCAAGATAACTCGAAGGTTCATCAAACATATATATCTCTGCATTCTGTATGGCAACAACAGCAATAGCAAATCTCTGGAGCTCACCACCAGATAAATCCCCAACATTACGGTCTATGACTTGGTTCAGTTCAAGATCAACACAGAGTTCTGCCTTCATATCTCTCTCATCTTTTTGGTCAAGCACCTGCCCCACATTCCCTTGAACTGCCTTTGGAATATGATCAACATACTGTGGCTTGATGATGGCCTGTTTAATAAAAAGACTATCAGCAGATGTGAAGGCAATATAGGGTTATCACAGGAAACTTCTCAAAGTTGCTATATTCATTGCTGCCAGCAATGCAAAACATATAAAAGTTGAAGAGGAAGTAGCACTTCTTATCAATCATCAAATTTTCGCTTGCAAGTTACATAGTTAAAGAACTTTAGATTACAAGTAAAAAGGAACATTACGGGTGGATTATTCAACTAAACTATCTTAACTGAAAAATTAGACAGGTTCAACTTCACATAAGTTATTCCCCAGGGACACTCAAGGGGCTTAGATTAGACTAATAAGGGATTCCAACAACAATGCTGGGAATATAATTGAAGTTAAAAAAAAAAAAAGGTCATGGTTAAACTATTTATGATACTTTGCACAAACTGAATCACACAAGATATCTTTTATGGACTTTTCAAAAAAAAAAAAAGATCTCCTTTATGGAACAAATGTTGAATTATAGGAAAGTTAGTTGTTGATATTGAAGCAACCACCCATTGAATCCCACAAGCTAATCAGGAAAACTTATTAAAAAGAAACATGCAATTTAAAGATGCAGAATCAAATCATTTTATTTTCCAAAGGTTAAAAAAAGCCCCAAATGTAATCAGGTTAAAAACACTTAAAAATCCATGTAAAGAGGCACCTTCAGATTATCTTCCAAGATGCGAGTAAAATAATTCTGCAACTCAGATCCTCGAAAATAGGTCAAGATTTCTTGCCAATCTGGAGGGTTCTGCAAATGGATTGTCCAAATAGGTAAATAATTAACATACATAAAGAAGCAATTAATGAAACAAGGCCTCAGGGAATTACATTGAAGCGACCCAAGTTTGGCTTGAGTTTGCCAGCCAGAACTTTAAGGGCAGTTGACTTCCCAATGCCATTGGTTCCAACCAGACCAAGAACTTGCCCAGGCCTTGGAACTGGTAACCTGAAATTGCAATTCAAAACCATCTCAATCTACAGAAAGGAAATGGGGGTGGACAGAGGATGAGAAAAAGATAGAAAGAGGAAAAATGCCACTGACATTTTTCTAGGAAAAGGAACAATGAACCAACCTGTGTAATTTAAAAGTATTGGGACCATATCGATGGGTTGTATCTTTATCCAAATCTCTTGGTAAGTTGATAATTTGAATTGCTTCAAATGGGCATTTCTGCATGAGAAGATCAAGCGTTCAGCTTCATCCAAATGCTCTTTTCTATCCCACATGGAAACAGACACAGAAAAGGATATGATAACAGAGCAGGATTACATACCTTCACACAGATACCACAACCAATGCACAACTCCTCAGAGATGAAAGCGATCTTAGAAGCAGGAGTAACCTCAATACATAGCTTCCCTGAAGCCAGAGTACTGAATGTGAGACACATAATTTGTAGCACTTGAAGACATAAAGTAGACCCAAGAACCAACTGATAGAAAAACAACAGCTGGAAAAGCTCAATAGTAAAGCTTATACAAACTCCTACTTCAGCTGGACATTGACAAGATCCAAACCAAAAAAACGCGACCAAATTACAAGCATGATAAGTGTCCTTGTCAGCTGTTATGCTCACAGATTCTCCAACAATCAACTTCATGCGGCCCAAAAAAAAAAAAGATTGTTGATTGATGCAGGTCAATTTTCATGCGTGCGTTTTGGGATTGAAAATTTATCAGCTGAAACTATCACTAGGAAGAATTCATTAACTTAATTCCATTAAGATCAAATAAAAATCCTTTTTTTCTTTCTACCCCAATTTCCAATCTCAGAAAACAGGAAAAACCTCACTAGCGAAAACCAATACCAGAATCAATTTTCCAGATAAAATTAATCAGTCACGGCGAGAGTGAAGTTTAATTTTTTTCTTTTTCAAAGGTGTTACCAGTTTTAACAACAGGGCAGCTCTTCTTGCACTCTTGGCGGCACTTCTTGGGCTTGCAGCGGTCGGAGCTGACAATCGCAATACGCGTCAAGCGATCCGCCATTTTTCTCCTCTGAACACTTTGACTGACAAAAAAGAAACCCAAATCAATATTAACAGATAAAAGGAATTAAATAACTAGCAAAGATTATTATTTAGTATTAGGGAATTCGAGGTCGGTTGCGTTTGTTGATTTTACCCTGTCCCCGGCCGGAATCAAAGAGCGACGGACGACGGAAATTGGAGGGAGAGAGAGAGAGAGAGGGAGGGCGTGTGCTTGGTTTGCGACGAGATGAGCGTAGAGCACACGCACGTAATCTAAAGTGGACAACGTTAGGGTTTTCTCTTCTGCTTCCGTGTCATAAAAACAAGGCTTGGCTTTTGTCTTTTAAGTGTTTGTGTAAAACTCTCTTCCTTTATCATGTCGGTTTCACATTTGGGTCGGGTACGGGTCTTTTCCTTTGGCTCCAAATCCAACGCCCAGGCGGCCCGCTCCCTAGCTAGAACTAGAGTTACACCGTCTTTATATTACTAGTAAAATTTACTTTTACTAGAAGAATATCATTTTATTAGTTTAGTTACACTTTATTTATTTTAAATACAACTTCTATCAAAATAATACAACTAAAACAAATTTGTAGCTAGTAAAATTTATTTTCTGAATTAATAAAATTCAGACGTATGACTTTTTTATCAATCACAATGCTTCATTGTCAATTTTTTTTATGTTATAATTATTTATTATTGGATTTAATAAAAGCAAATGATACTATAAAATAAAAATCAAGATGATCATATATATGAACTTATTTTCGAAAATTCATTAGAAATATACAAAATATGAAAAAAAAATTGGACATAAAGCAATAGATTTACTTGAACATGAAAGGGTATCAAGAAAATTGGTTGGTTGGCAAATAGGTTATATTAGTAGTATAAAACTGGAATATTTGAAGGAATAATGGTGTGATCATTTTCACATGGAACCAACATCAATAAGACTGTAAGCAGGCAGCTTTTTCAATTTTCTCTCCTGAATCGTTTGCCTCAACTCCATGGCGTCTTTCCATCCTCCTGCCCTGACATACATGTTGGCCAGTGAAATGTAATAGCCAACATTTTCAGGTTCCAATCCAAAAAGATGTTCTGCAACCTTTCTTCCCATCTCGATGTTTCCATGATAGTTACAAGCACTTAACATGGCTCCCCAAACGCCAGGTTCAGGCTCTCTTGCTATCTGCTTGATGAATTCGTGGGCTTCTTGCAGTTTTCCAGCTCGACCCAGCATATCGACAATGCACACCTGGTGCTCAGTTACTGGTTCTACTCCATATTCACTCAACATAAGGCTGTAATACCAAAGACCTTCATTGACAAGCCCCGAATGACTGCAAGCTGATAAAAGATTTATGAACGTGCTTTTGGATGGTCTAAATCCGGACTCGCACATTTCATGGAATAGTTGAACTGCCTTTTTACCATTACTATGGTATCCATATGCAGATATCATAGAATTCCAATCTGCAACAGACTTCTCCCTTGACTTTGTAAATATTTGGCAGGCTACATCCAGCCTTCCGCAATTGCTGTACATATCCAGAAGGGCTGCAGATACATAACAATTCTCAAAAAGTCCAAACCGGAATACATGACCATGGATCTGTTTTCCCTGCCTTAAAAATCCAAGCTGATTGCAAACAGAGAGAAGGGCAACAATGGTGATTTCATTAGGTTCAAATTCAAGAGAGTGAAATAATTCAAGGGCCCTTCTTCCATCCTTATTCTGGGAAAAAGCAGAGATCATGCAGTTCCACGAACATAAGTTTCGACTGGAACAGAAACCAAACACTGATCTTGCGCTCTTAGTGTGACCGCATCTGCCATACATAGTAGTTAATGAATTCTGCACCCGAGTTTCTGATCCTGAAAAAGTTTTAATAGCAAGACCATGTAAGGATTTTCCTTCATAAATCAAGGCAAGATTTCCACAAGAAGATATGACATTTACAAGCGTGATAGCATCATGGCTAACATTTGTTTCCTGCCTCATCATATTGAATGTAGCTAAAGCTTCTCGAAAATGGCCATTCTGCGTGTAACCAACAATTATAGTGTTCCAACAAGCAATGTCCTCTTTAGCAGAAATTTTCTCTAGCAACATAAAAGCAGCCGTCAAGTCCCCACAATTAATATACATGTGCATGAGAGAATTAACTGCAAGAATGTTGCTTGAAAACCCTGCCTTTAGCTGCCAGCAGTGAATTGATTTACCAAACTGGAGGGAATTGGGGGAAATGCAAGATGGAAGAACAGCCAATAGGGTTGACAAACTCCACTGTGAATACTGATGGATCAGTTTCTTAAATAAACTTTGAGCTTCTTTAGGCTGCCTGTTTTGGCTGTAGCAAGAGATCATTGTATTCCATGAGACCAAGTCTCTTTTTGGTATTGTATTGAACAAAAACTCAGCCTTGACAACAGAATTGCATTTTGAGTACATGTCCAAAAGGCTATTAATCACCAGTGCATCTGATATCATCTGTTTACGAATTGCATATCCATGAATAGTTCTCCCTTCTCTCAATAACATCCTCTCTGCACAAAGTGACATTAAGGTAACTAAAGTCACTACGTCAGGCTGAGCATATCCTGTTAGTTGCATTTTGTAAAGCAGATCAAACGATTCCAAAGTCTTTCCATTTGAAGCAAACCCCCCAATCATCGCATTCCATGAAATGACATCCTTATACACCATTTCATTAAACACTAACTCTGACGCTTCAGTATCTCCGTGCTTTGAATATAATGAAATCAGAGAGTTGGAACACGAGATGTCAGATTTGTACCCCAATTTTATTCCCCATCCATGAATGGCTTGACCAGAAGTTAACTCCTCCAAAGCAGTAGATGCTGAGATAGCACTTGATAAACTCACAGTATCCACTCTAACTCCCAAACAAATCATCTCTATGAAACACCACAGGGACTTTGCAGGATGACCATTATAAAGAAAACCATTTATCATTGAATTCCGAGAAACAGCATCTCTACTTTCCATCCATGCAAACATAGACTCAGAAGAGGTCAAGTCACCACATTTAGCATACATGTCTAATAGAGCATTACATAAACTACAATCGCAAAGCATTCCCAGTTTTATGCTCAAACAGTGAAGACTCTTCCCCTGTATCGAGTACTTCATATGGGATAAAGCTGACACAACAAGTAACAAAGTTGTAGAATCAAAACCACAACCCACTTCAACCATTTCAACAAAAAACTGCATGGCAACACCATAAGACTTATTTTCAACAGCAGCACTGATTATGGCATTCCAAAAGATGATATCTTTGTCATCAAATTCGTCAAATAAAGCCAAGGATGAGTTGAAATCTTTGGCTCTTGAATAAGCAGTGAGGAGAGAGGTGCAAGCTGGCAAGTGAGCAAGAGCACCAATCTTGATTGCTAAGCAATGGGCGGTTGTGGCTGTTGCTAGGTTGGGTCTTCCCACGGAGGATTTAAGGAGATCAAGGACATTGTAAAACTGGGTATACTGCTGATGTGGGTCTCTTTGGGGCATTTTGGCGGATGATTGAAAGACAGTAGAAAAATTAAGTGAATTAACAGAAAAGAGAGGATGAGCATTTGGAAAGAGGCCATATGATTCAATAAACAAGATGGGATTTTTGAGCTTGCAGCTAACAACAATTCTAATTGAACAATTTTGGTGCTGAAGCAACAAGGCTGAACAGAAGAAGTACCTCCTTATTCCTATGAAGTCTCTTGGGAAGATTGCTTTTGATGTGTGCCCAAAGGTCTTAACCGCCCAACAACTACCCATTCAATGTTTCATACCCTTTTGGAGTGGGGAACGTTCATCTGTTATCTGTTACATCTTAATTGATTAAAACCAGTAGAATTTTTACGTACAATACAATTGTGTTGGATACTTGGAGTTCTGGTTTCAGCCAGGAATTGGAGGGCATAGCGCCCATAATCTCCAGTCCCGTGAAGGAGCGAGGAACTGCAGCTGTGTTGAAAACTAGAACTCTGCGTAAAATTAAAGAGCTCTAAACGATTTTTTTTTACTTATTTGTTAATCTGGCTGGGTAGGCTTTCCTTGAGTGTACTCTCCTTTCGAACGAACTCTGTTATAACGACTTAATACATATAAGATTTTACTCTCTATTGACAAAGAAATGGAAATCTTCTGTTTAACAATTGAACTAACGCGATGCATTTACAACTCTAAACATGAGGGTATATGACCAATCAGGCTTAAAAGGCTTTGGAACCATTCTCCCTACAGGCTTAAAAGGCTTATGTTACCAGTGGAACTTTGAGAGTTAGGCTTTGAGAAGCTAAAACCTTGCCCGACTGTGATCACAGTGGGTGATCCCAGAACAGATTAGAGGGAGAGTGAACTCATCTTTCCATAGGCTACTTCAGAATCGGCTTTAAAGAGAAGAAGAATGTGTTAAAGCCAGAAGTTATGGAAGAAAAGTAAAGGGCAAGCATCTTAAATCATCTTATGAAATCAGTAATAAGCCAGTCATGAAACAGGGTCCATCAGTAGGCACCATAACATCCTTCAAATCAATAGCTTCATTTCCATTTTATTTAGTATTGTGGAAGGGTTAAATACAAGCCAAAATTTTTTCACCTACAGTTACACTAGCAAAGGGGTGAAAAACACATCAGCCCTTCACTATTTCAAATTTCAGATTCTGGACAGTTTTCCTCTGTAAAGTGATACAACCTCATCCCAGCTACAAAGATGAATACAACACTATTGGTTTTTGACAATGTGTGAGGAATGAAACCAGCTTTGAACAGATTTCTGTTTGTAATTTTTCTGTCCCCGACAACTTGGCCATATTTTGATACTATTGGCACGGGGCCTCAGAATGGCGGATGATCATCCTCTGGGGTTTGAGGTGGGGCAGGTTTCCAGCCTGGTTTCTCATCCCAATACATGTCATAATATATGTGTCCAGGAGTGTGGCTGTCAACACAGCACCATATACCTACATACCGCTTCACACGATTCCTGAATTTGTCCTCTCTTGTCTGAGTGTAAATATATCACTTAGCATATTAGTACAAGACAACCAAACATGAAATGTTTAGATGTATAATAGCAATAAAGTAAAATAATAGCAGAGAAGTTGCAGCTTGATGAAAAGACTTGCCTTGTCAGAGAAACCAAGAAAAGCATCTTGCATGGAAGAGAATTGAATTACTTTGACATCCTTGAATGCAGAGAACACTGTCTTGAACTGTAGTTTAGTATTAGAATTCAACAGGGTCAATATCAAGCCAACAATGTTAACAACAGATTTGTTTAAGACATTGCTAATAGCATGGACAGAGTATTAATTCCAGTTTCATGAAATTACAAACAGAATGAAAGTAACTAATTTACAGTCTCAAATATGAACTTATATTAACCTCCAATCTAGTAAAACTTATAGCCATTTCCCAGCTGGACAGCAATAGCAACATTTGCTAGTTATTGACCAACCTAAACTCAAACTACTGACTAACTGAAGGAAAAGTTTATCTCATAATGTTGGGCAAAACAAAAGTTTAATCAATGAAACCTTTGTATGATGCAGTACAACTCGCATATATTTATCATGGAACAATTCACTGCAAAGGATCTATTTCATCAGCTTCCATTTCTCTATGGAGATTAAAAAGCCAATTCTTGCCAGGAAGTAGCCTAATTTAACAGATTAAAGCCACATTAATACTTTTCAGTGTCTAATGACTAATAATTCATAAACTGTAACAAAAATGATTTGAGTATGTATATATATCTAAATAAACTAATCCTAGATGCTTTTAAACCTAAACTGAAAATCTTGACCTCTATCCTTTAGTGATTTTACACTTTCTAGAGTCCAATTCTAGTGCAAAGTGTTTATTATTATACTATCAGTCATTCCTCCCTTCCATTTCTTAAGAGGAAAATAAAAATGAATAGTTAGGTATCCTACAAGCTCAACCTCTGATTTCTAGCTCAACAGCCAAAGAATCCCTTCAGAAACTTATGAATGATGCACTCTTAGGTCATCAAGCTACATATCAAGAAAAAGAAAAAGAATCTCTCTTTCACTTTAAGAAGAGAAACATGAATTACTTAATGTTTCTACTGACATAACTCTTTAGTACTTGGTCATTTTGTTTTAAATAACAGTTTGGTCTCCTCAATATACAAGTGGCAATATCGGCTCAGGTACTACTTAAGAAATCACTACACTAATCACTAAACCTAATTCCACCTTGCCTTTCAAACCCCCAAAAAAAAATTTCTAGCTCCAATCACAATTTTGACATACAGATATCATTCAGCATCCTAGAACAATCTCCTAGCAGCTGTGCACCAAAGACAAAGCATTTTAAGAACGATACTAAATGGATAGCCTAATAGTTCTGAACATATTTTCCAATTTTAGCTACAATGAAAACTCAATAGTCTAGCAGAAGGCCATTGTATTAAGTCCAACAAATAAAAAATACAGAAGTTATTCATCAAGAATATTGGAAGTGATTGCCCTTCTATGAAGAAGATACTTCATATAAGCAAATAAAGCATCTGCCATACCGTTTCTTCACTGCTGTGTTTTGGAAATCTTAAAAGACCTGGTCGACTTGTGTTGCTTGATGCATGGCAATCTTCAGCTCCTTCTTGACAAAGCTGAACATCAAGCCACGACTCCTTTACCTGAAACAACATTCCAAACTAAAGTCTCCCAAAGGAGATCATAGAAAAGAAACAATTTAAATTTATATCACTGATATTCATTTACTTGTTGGGGCAACAATGGATTGCTCAGAAAAGAGTACTCTCTGATGTTGATTGCAGGACCAAATTCCTCCACTGGAAGGTCTTTCAACATGACATTTACCTACAGGGCATAGTATATTCCTTAGAATTACAAGTTCTCATGCTCTAATAAAGCATCTTCTAATAATAGAACTCTGAAGGAGAGGTTGAGCTCAATCAGAAGACTCATGGACTAAATGAACACAGTTTTATGTTATTAGCCTAATTGGTTTGTAAGTCAATATCCAGAATTTGACCAAAATAAAAAGACTAGGACTGATCTTAAGGGTTTCAAAATTTGAAATCCATTGAGAAATGTATGAACCAACCAGAAGAAATAAATTTACAAATTCTAAACAAACTAAAGTGAGTTCGTAACAAGTTGGTAATGTACATTAGATTGTCCACATCCTGATTCACTTAAAAAAAAAAATCCCAAAAGATTTATCACGAGTGTTCCGAACAGAGATTCCACTGTTGAAAGTCAACAAGAATGTCTACTGCAAGCACTTTCCACAAGCTCTTTGCAATTACGCTGTACTTTAAAGAGGCTAAATGAAGTGCTCTGACTTGGAGATACTATTTAATTTCATGGATGCACACATAAGGAGGGAAAAAACTGCTACAACATGCAAACGTTGTTTCCAGCTGAAACAAGAAAATGAAATAATGGTTCTGAAAGTCAACTAATATATACCTCAAAGACATGGTCCAAAGGGCAGAGAAAAGGTTGTCTAGTCATTGACCCCACCAAAACTCCAGGATGTGGAAACCACAGCCTATCCAACCTGCACCATAGAGGAGGCATAACCTGAAATTTACACAGTAAGAAGCAAAATGATGATTAGATAACCTTACGCAAATGCAATACCCAAGCTTACATTTGGAATGAATTAAATAACCTTCACCACAGAATGCTTTACCAATTGCACAACAGAGGATGAATTTTTATATGACAGATGTTGTTTCTTGATTATTTTTGTTACCACTAGGCACAATTAATTCATGTTAAAACTCATCCTTTAAGCGTGTAAGCCAAGAATCTCTTCTAAGAACCACTTTGACACTTTGGTTCAATTTTCCCTCACAAACTCAGTAGAATAGTAATCACAAACTCTTAAGACAATAATGCTAAGTGATCACAGGGTTCTCACCAGCGTACGATTCAGCAATGAAGCAATAGCAAGCGCCGACCTTATTTGTTTCATCTGAATAAAATTGTCAAAAACAGTAAGTTATGACTATAAACACAGAGGATCTAAGTGGCAGAAGCTAGAAGTTATATATTGATAGAGTCATACTTGGTAATTAATAAGAGAGAAGTGTGATTGTAGATTATGCTCCCCATCCAGTAACAAGCTCTTTGGAATAGAAGGTTTAAATGACAAGAATCCTCCTGCATAGTTCCTTCAATAAGTTAACTGACAACATTAAACATGCTGTTAAAGTTCTTTAAAGCAAGCATCAAGATCTAAAAGTCCATTGGACTTTATCTTTGTCACTAAAGAAGTTGAAATCAGAATGAACTATATACCCCATTTGTTTAAAATGGGGACAAAGATAAACGTTAAAAATGTGTTTAGTTCACTATAAAACTCAAAGTTTCCCTGATAAACTTGCTTGATAGTACGCTTTCCTGCATCCCTTCCTAACCAACACAGGCAGAAAACATAATAGGAGTGGTATCAAATATGAGAAAAACAGCCTATGGAATTATATACCTCATGCATAAGGATAATCAACATAGCCAAATCCTCTGTTACATGAAGTTTTAACAATCATTTATTAATGGGGAAAGCAATAAATCATAAACGAGGACAATAACATAACCAAACTGTATGCTACATGGAATATTTACTTCATCCCAAAATACCCACATTGCATATGTTGGATGCCTATAATCCATATGAGGTATGACCCCTTCACCTCTACATGAATGAAAAAACTTACAAAGAGTTTAGCATGTCCCTGTCAGATCTAGAAATATAACTGAAGCTCGTTAAGATGCAAAAACTGGCTTAAACTCCAATTATCAATAAAGGGGCACTCAAGGTATACAGCATCAGTGAAAATAATATACATCCTAACATCAAATCTTTAATACAGCCGGAACAAAAATACCTAATGCTTTATGGTAGGTATAGAACATTTGTAATACTAATAAGCATCTAACATCACACCTAGAAAAGAGCTGGCACAAAACTACCTGGTGCATCATAGTACTCTGGTGGATCATAGAAAACCATGGCCTCCCGCAGTCGATGACGCTTCCCCTCAGTACCAGCATATTGGAACGTGGTGTGCAAAGCATATGGCTCCAGCCTAAGTTGTTCATACATGGCCTGCCAATAAAATTAGGGCTTAGGACACGCTTGGTGTACAACATACGCTGCTATTTATTAACAGGTACATGCAAGATAATTATAGTTCACAGGCATAAATATGTAAAGAAATATAGTGATGAAACTGAACTTTAACAACCATCAGTAAAATAAAAACAGGATGAGACTATATCGAAATCACCAAAACTAACATATGGATCCTACCTGAATAAAATAAGTGTGTCCACTACAAAATATACTTTCTGGCAGAATTCCCAGCTTGAGATTCCCATCAAAAGCATAAAAAAGTCCACTATCATCATCAACGGCTGGCCCTGATTGCCTACGTACAAGTTCATTAAATCCATTCTGATCCCATATCTTATCATCAGCTAAAAGCATATCTTTCCATTCTTTTGCCAGTTTTATTGCAGGCTCCGTCGGCCGCCAGTGGAAAATTCCTATATTGTACGCGGCACCAACTGGTCAAGGAAAAGAAAGAATCAATTTTGCCAAAGGAGTTACAAGAATGGCCATTTATGAGTTAAAAGAAGAAAGTGATAAATGTGCAAAATAGAGATGTAACTTAAGCTCTGACAGAATGCATGCATGTCAACAACAAAGGGAAAGGCACGCTTACAGCTGTAGTGCAAACTGAGCAATCCATGCTCAGTACAAGAAGGGTTTAACACTTACAACATAGAAGGAAAAAAACACTCTAAAGCCAGCACAGAATACGCTAAGTTCGGAACCACATATGTCAACCCCCTCCCCCCCTCTCTTAGACAAGATGAGGGCAGGTCTCCTGTAACAACACTACTGTGGGGCATGACTTGAAAACAGGATAAGAAGATGAAAAGGCAATAATTTTTTAAACATTTTTTTTACCTTGTTTCCAGTCAGCCAATCTGTCATCAACAACTGTTGGCACAACTTGGTCACTTGAAGTTAAGACGTCTGCATCAGGGTACCGAGCAAGATATGGAAGTGGATTCTGTTAAAGGAAGATGGCATATGAACTATGACTTTCATGTATATCTTCCGAAGTGACCATAAAGGATCATGAAGTAAAAT